GGGATGGGGGCACAGGGATGGGAGCACAGGGATGGGGGGCACAGGGATGGGGGCACAGGGATAGGGGCACAGGGATGGGGCACGGAGATGGAGCACAGAGATGGGGGCACAGAGATGAGGGGCACGGAGATGGGGGCACGGGGATGGGGGCACAGAGATGGGGGCACAGGGATGGGGACACAGAGATGGGGGCACGGAGATGGGGGCACGGAGATGGGGGCACGAGGAGCGTGGGAAGCACAGGGATGGGGCGGGCAGCTCTCCGCCCCCAGGGCTGCTTCCTCCCTGCTCTGTCCCACCAGGAAGAAACGGAAGCTAATGGTTCTAGGCTGGGGGGTGTCTTCCCAATGAGCTCTACTCCCCACAGACTTCTGGCTCCCCAAGGCCACAGTCAGCTGTGTTCAGCCCAATAATGCGTGTTTCTGTGCACTGGGAAGCATGCAGCCCACGCCCAGGAGTCCCCCAGCGTCCTGCCCCGGGGGGGGGGGGTGGCACAAACACCAGCCTCTGTCCAGACGCGGGCGCGAGGAGCCTGCAGACTCCGCGGCCCCGAGACCGAGTCCTGCAGCACCCGATGCCGCATGGGGACCCCGCCCTGCGCCGCACACCTCAGCCCAGCTCTGCCCTTGCTCTCTCAACAGCCACGGCCTCCCCCCACCTGACGACCACCTGCGGTTACCGGGGCTCCACCTCCACCCGCAAGGCCCGGGCCCATGTCCCGGCCACCCCTCCACACTGGGAGTCCCTCCTGAGACCTGGATGGGGACGCGGGAGTATTTCTCCTGGGCTAGGCGGGGCCGTGCGGGGGCTCCGAGTGGCACCGGCGCCTGACTGTGCTCGGGCGGCTGGTGGGAGGCCAGGAGGCCGCACTGGCCGGGCTGAGCCTCATTCTAGGCCAGGACCTCTGAGGGATCCGAGTAGTGAGACGTGAGCCAGGGCCCCGTCATGGTGCGGGTGCCTGGTTACGGTGGTGGAAGGACAGACCTGCAGATGTCAGCCCGTGGGGGGGGGGGTGCTGACATGGGCCCAAGGGCCGCAGGGTGGACGCCAGGGCACAGCCCCTGCCCTGCAGCGCTCTGGCGGCTGCGTGCCTTATCCTGGCTAGCTTGAGGCGCCACCTGCAGGGAAACTCGGGTTACTGCAGCGCCAGCCGCCGGGCGGCCCCTACGGAGAGCAGGTCTGGGGTGGGGGACGCTTTGTCCAGAGGCCCCTGGATTGCACCAACCGTTCTGGACAGCGACCGTGGCACTGCGGCCCACGCCATCCCACCTCCTAGCCAATCCCTGCCCCCCAGCGGTTCCTGGCCCTTCCTCTGGCTCTTCCTCCCTCCCCCCTTCCAGGGCTGTTGGGCAGAAAAGGGAGGTCCCTGCACCATCCAGGCAGTCAGCACAGATGTACTCAGAGACTAAGGATGGAGTCAAGTGACCAGACCAGAGAGGAGCGGGAGCAGGCTGGTCAGGTGCCAGGGGAAGGGCCCCCCACCCAGCACCCCGATTCCACCAGGGGGGAGGGCACCCCCACCAGACACCCCAAATCTACAAGGAAACCAACCACAAGGCCCAGTCAGCAGCCAAGCTAGGATGGAGCTCTAAAACTGAGCCCCCCGAGCTCGAGCAGGAGTCCAGGTCAGCGACCTCTGTGCAGGCTCAGACAGCGAGGACAGCGCAGGGATGAGCAAATCATGGAACAGCAGAGTGAGTGCTGAGAAGCAACAGGTACACAAAGCACTGGCTGCCTTCCGGAAGGGGAGAGAGCTTGGAGCGGGGAGTGTCCCTGGAAGGTGGTCACTGGCCCAGGTTCCCTCCCCTCCAATGTGCCTGCCTCCTGAGTCAAGGGGGTGCTAAGCTGGGGGCGGTGTGGGGCCCCTCGAGAGATCAGGCGGTGCTCACTCCCTCCAGGGCAGCGGCCGAGCAGAACCAAGCCAGGGCCAGCTGGGCGGGGGGGTCACTGGCCCCACGGCGGGCCTGGTTAACCCTGCTTCCCTCCCACCAAGAGGCCAAGGAGCTGAGGAGTCAAAGACAGATTCAAGGTTGAGCCCTTGAATGTACGGAACAGTCAGTGGGAGGCTCCTGAGGACGGTCTGACCAGCCTGGGTGAGGGCGAGCTAGGAGGGCGGACGGGGCAGAGCTGAGGCTGGGCAAGCAGAAGGGGCGAGCCCCGAGAACGGCAGTGTGGGTGGGGGAAGGGCCCCCCACCCTGGGGGCAAAGTCAGGCGAGCAGCCCGCCCCCCCCTCGCTGACATGCAGGCATCACCTGTGTGACTGGGGCGGCAGGGGTGGGGGGCCGGGGGGGGCAGGTGCTGGCAGGCGGACACGCTGGCAGTGGGACTGGCAGAGACGCGGCTGGAAGTGAACACCTGGTGGCTCGTTTATTCTCTCCTTTAATCTGGCTTAAACCTTTTACAGCCTCTGAAAAAGCCGTGCAGCCCTGGGAGGGGGTGGCGGACACCCGGGCGCACTCGCAGGGACGGGCATCTGGGCAGCCGGGGAGCCGCTGCACCCAGTCCTCAGCCCGGAGGCTTTCCGTCAGCACCAGGATCCTCGCTCAGTCGCACCTGTGACGGTCCTCGGACCCAGTATCTCATGTTGAACGATACATTCTGGGGCCGAGATGCAGGTGGGTGGAGTGACGGTGTCCAGTGAGAGCCGTGAACTGTTGGCTTCCAGTTAGGGTCGTCTGGGACTCCATCTCATCGCTTGGCCGTGTAGCTTCCTGGCCTTTTGGGAGAAAGGGAGGGGATGGGGGTCAGCCCGGGGCAGCAGGGCCTGGGGCGGCGGCACGGCTCTGTCCACACAGGCGGACCATGTACAGGTGCACAGCGCTCTGTCCTGTCCTGGGCCCCCCACCCCCAGCCTCTCTGCGGGAGCCGGCTGAGCCCTCCCTCCCCAGGACGACAGCGACCTCTCCAGGTGGGCCTATGGGCTAAGCCTCCCAGAGTCCCCGCCAGGGCCGTGCCGGTGACCTCTGCCCACGGCTGAGTGAATGCATCAGTGGAGGGGGGAAGAGGGGAGCAGCTGCTCCTCTGTGGCCAGTGTGGGCACCACCCTGACCATGATCCCACCAGAGACTCACGCCTGCCCTGGGGAGGCAGGGCCCCACTGCACCCCCGCCCCAGGGACACAGCAGCAGGGCCAGGGTCCCTGATAGTGGAAGGAGATCCCTGGGGCCCCTGCGGCTCCAGGTCCCGGGTTCAAAGCCAGTCTGCTGGGCCAGGAAACGTGGTGCGCGGGGCTCAGGGCCCTGGGTGGGATACGGGGGGGCCAGCACCCAGGAGCGGGCTCTTTGCTGCCCTGGCGCCTGGAGCAGCTGGCCAGTGGGTACTTGTGTCGGCAGTGCCAGGACCTCCCCACCCCCAAGGAGGGGCCCATCCTTCTGCTCCCCTGAGCTCCTCAGCTCTCTCTCCCCAGGGCATAACCGGGACCCCCTCCGGCCCAGGCACCGGAGACCCCAGTACAGTCCATCACAACCGTGGTTCACATCCAGGCTCACGCCATTGTGACCGGGTAAGTATGAGTGCCTTGGACGGCGTGGGATCAGGGGCTCCAGCCCGCACAGCAGGAAATCCGTGTGCAGCTATTACCCAACCCCCCCCACCCCCCACCCCCGAGCTGTATGAACAGCCCGGAAGCTAGGCCTCTGTTGACCAGAAGCCTCGCCAGTAACACACACGGTAGATCAACACCTAGTTTGTACGTGCGTGTTCCGGACATCTTACCACAAAGTCTGCCAGGGAGAAGAATACGTCACCGAGGAAACCACCAGGGAAGCACGGTTACAGCACGACTGTCTGAAACCCGCGTGCACCGCCCCAGCCGTGCTGCTCGGGGGCCACCAGTGCCCCTTGCCTGCGCTTCCCTTCCCGAAGAAATCTGTTCCTCGTGCAGCCACTAACTGCTCCTTCAGAAGCGGTGCTTTGTTTTCCACACGCTTGTCCAGGAACCTCTCCGTCCCCTTGGCCAGACGCCCCGGAGAGACCGCCGGGCTCCCCCGAGCCCCAGGCTGGCGGCCTGCACAGGGGACAGCCTGGGGGCTCCTGCACTCTCTGGGCTCAGCTTCCTTTTTTCTGGAGCACTTCCTCCTCTTTCCTGCTCTGCTGACTGGTTTCGGAAGGATGCGCTCTCCCGTAGCGTCCAGAGAGGGCTGCGCAGCGAGCACGGCCGTGAGGCCCTGGCTGGGGAGGGCTCCGCCTGCCCTGTGCCGCCGGGCTGCCAGCCGCAGTGCCCGACTCCTTCCGACTGCTGGCCGCCACGCCGCCTGGGGGCGAGTCCACTTCCGCTCAGCTTCCCATTCAACTTTTTGGAAAGTGAAGAGGTTTCACTTCTGTAGAGCTGTCTCCGTCCCCACCAGGTCCGTGACCCGACGCTGACATGCCACCATCACCCAGGGGCCGCACTTCTCAGCGGGGCTCACTCCCGGGCTTGCAAGTTCTGCCGGCCCAGACAGACGTATGATGACAGGTGTCCGTCACGGCGCTGTCCCGCTGCTGCACTGCCCAAACCTCCCTCCGACCCCCAGCCCTGCAGCCACGGAGGCCCCTACTGTCCGCAGAGCTTTCTCTCTTCCCGATCGTCATTCAGGGGTAGCTTCCAGGGTGGGCTCTCTCATTAGTGATAGGCATTCGAGGCTCCCCCGGGTCTGTTCCTGGTGTGACAGCTCGGTCCTTTTTGGGGCCAAATAATACTCCACGGTCTGGAGGGGCCAGGGTTTATTTATCCACTCACCTGAGGAAGGACATCGTGAAGCTTCTGTGAACATCTGTGAGCAAGTTTTTGTGTGGACATGTTTTGAACTCTTTTAGGCAAATGCCCCAGGGCTCAGTTGCTGGATCTCAAGGTCAGAGTACATTCAATTTTATAGTAAATCACCAAACTGTCTTCCAAAGTGGCTGCACCGTCTTGCATCCCCACCAGCAGGGAACGAGAGTTGCCGTCGCTCCACATCCTCGCCGGCATCTGGTGGTGTTGGCGATTTGGATTATAACCATTCTGACAGGTGTGTAGTGGTATCTCTGTTTTAGATTGACTTTGTCATCCTAATGACATACAACATTGAGTGTCTTTTCATATGCTGATTTAACATCTATATATCTTCTTTGGTGAAGTGTCTGTTCAGATCTGTGGCTCACTTTTTAATTCGGTTGTTCATTTTCTTTCTATATTTTGGATAAACAGTCCTTTATCGGATGCGTTTTTACAAATATTTTCTCCAAGTCTTTGGCATCTTATTCTTTAAATCAATTTTTTTTAAGGTTTATTTATTTTTGGGAGAGAGACAGAGACAGAGCATGAGTGGGGGAGGTGCAGAGAGAGGGAGACACAGAATCCGAAACAGGCTCCAGGCTCTGAGCTGTCAGCACAGAGCCCGACATGGGGCTCGAACCCACAAACTGCAAGAACATGACCTGAGCCAAAGTCAGATGCTTAACCCACTGAGCCCCCCAGGTGCCCCTGGCATCTTATTCTTTTGGCAGTATCTTTCTTAGAGACAAATTTTTAAAGTTTAATGAAGTAAAGTTATCAATTTTTTCTGTGATGCTTGATGTTCTATTTAAAAACCCCCCAACAACCCAAGGTCACCCACATTTTCTATGTAACTTTCTACAAGTTTGACAGTTTTGCATTTTACATTTGGTTCCGTGGCCACTTTCAGTTCACTTTTGTGAAGGTGGAAGGTCTGGGTCTGGATTTACTGTTTTGCACACGGACGCCCAGCGGTTCCCACACCATCTGTTGAAGAGACCATCTCTGCTCACTGCGTTACCTTCGCTCCTTTGTCAAACATCAGTCACCTATATTTACGTGGGTCTTTCTGACCCACTGACCCGCTTGTCTGCTTCTCCCCCAGCCCCACGCCGTCTTGGTTCCTGTCGCTTTACTGCGAGTCTTCAGCCCTACAGCCTTGTCCCCCTTCAGTGTTGTGTGGGCGACTCGGGGCCTTTGCCCCCCCTCCATGTAAACGTTGGGAGCAGGCTGTCGATATCCACAAAGTAACCCGCTGGGGTTTGGATTGGGATTGTGCTGAATCTCTACATCTAGTTGGAAAGAACCGCCATCTTGGCGATATTGGGTCTTCCCATCCATGAACATGGGATTCCTCTCCATCCATTCAGTTCTTCTGTGAGTTGACTCATCAGTTTTGTTGTTTTCCTCACATAGATCTTGTACATATTTTGTTAGATTTGTACATAGCACCATTTTTTGCATGCTAATGTGAATGTTATGTTCTTAATTTCAAATCCCACTTGTTTGCTGATGGTATCTAGGAAGTGATTGACTTTTACGTATTAACCTTGGATCCTGCAACCTTGCCATAATCGCTTATTAGTTCCAGAAGCTTTTGCTCAATTCTTTGGGATTTTCTACACAGCCAACTAAGTCACCTGAAAACAAAGAAAGTCCTAACTCTTCCTTCTTAATCGACACTATTTTCCTTTCTTGTCTTGTTGCAGTAGTTAGGACTTCCCGTGTGATGCCACAGAGAAATGGTCTCATTCCTGACCTTCAGGGGGACAGCAGTTTCTAGTTCCTCACCATGAAGTACGATGTTTGCCGTAGTTTCTGCAGATGCTCTTGATCAAGTCGAGGAAGTTCCACTTGTGCCAAGTGTGCTACAAGCACAAACAGGTGCTGGGTTTCCTGCACCCACTGATACAATCATGTGACTTTCCCTCTTCAGCCACAGTGTGATGGTGCCTGTACTTAAATTGGTTTTTTGAATGTGGAACCAGCCTTGTATGCCTGGGATAAATCCCACTTGGTCGTGTATGATTCTTTTCATACGTTGTTAGGTTTGATTTGCCAATATTTTGTTGAGGATTTTTGCATCTGTGTTCAGGAGAGACGTTGGTCTGTAGTTTTCCTCACATGTGACATCTTTGTTCTGTATGAGGATAATGCTGGCCTCATAGAATGAATTACGATGTTTCCCCTCTGCTTCTATTTTCTGGAAGAGATTATAGAGAGTGGTATCATTTCTTCCTTAAATGTGCGAGAGAATTCACCAGGAAACTCACTTGAAAATTATTATTGATTTGATTCCTTTAGTAGATACTAGCATATTCAGACTGGCTATCTCTTCTTGTGTGAGTTTTGGCAGACGGTGTCTTCCACAGAATGGCCCATTTCGTGTTAGGTTACCAGACTTGTGAGCACAATTGTTCATAATACCAAACAGAACTTTCATTCCACAGCTGAAGCGTGAGATACGGATGTTTAGAAGCCTTAGGAGGTAGAGCTTGGGGTGTTTGAGGTGGAGGTTACAGCCATGAACAACAGACTTGGGGAGAATAAACTCACCTGAAGGCAGGTGCGTTCTCTGGGCCGGGAAGGCAAAGCCGGCAAAGAGGGCCGAGTCCGACAGCCCTGCCTGCACTCCCTCCTCCTGCCCCTGGGCCCCGGGGAGAGAGGTGGGATGGGGGCCTCCAACGGGCCGGGGGTCGGCTCTGCCGGAGGCTTTGGAGTCGGGCCACTGCATCAGGGTGAGCCTGGGCTCGGCTGGCCGAGGAGAGCAAGTACATGTCCCTGCACCCATGAGCTGCAAGGGCCCAGAGGCATCGGGCTCAGCCTACCCCACCTGTCTGAGGCCGGTCACTCTGGGGTAGGGGGGCAGCAGGTCCCCTTACCACTGGATGGGTAACTACGTGTCGTCCTGGCCAGGAGGCCTCCCTTCCTGAGCCCGGTGTCACTCCCATAACCCCGACCGTTTCTGCACACACAGCACATGTCCGTGTGGGGGCCAGTCTCCCTGCCCCGCCGGCCACCGGGGTCCAGCTGGCAGCCAGGCCCCGTCAGGGTCCCGCCAGGCGCTGCTGGTTGCGAGGCATCGGGCGAGGGTCCCACAGACACCTCCCCATCATCTGCTGCTGAAGTGGAGGCTGTGTGGGGTCCCGTCAGGTGGCCCAATGCGTCTGAGGACTCACACGCCTCACACGCCGTGAAAACCCCTTATCCTTCCACAAAGCACGATTCTGGGCGCGTCCCTCGTGGTCAAGGGGACGGTGCTCTGAGGAAGTGAGGCGGGTTCCCTTCGATTCTGAACAGAATATTCACTTTTGCGCAGAACCACCACATACTTACAATTTCCAAGTCGTGGGCAGCCTGTCTCCATTCCTCCAGTGGCGCCATCTCCCAAAATCCTTTCTTTCCCGCATGCGTTTTCTGAATGTGCCGATTTAGGTTTTCTTCTAAACGCCCCTCTCGGAAGGCTCTGAGGAAACCGGGGGTGACAGACACGATCGTACACGTCGAGTCGAGTCGAGTCTTAGCAATTCCTACTCCGACAGGGGAGAGAGGATTTCCCTTTTCCCTCCAGGCCAAACTGCGGTCCTGGGGCTTCGGGCCACCTGGGGCTCGGGGCCACCTGGGGCCACCCGCTCCCCTCCAGGCAGCAGCCCAGACAGGCCCAGGCAGTTAGAAGCTGCAAGAACACACACTACGTTTTAAACCTTCAAATCCAGGTAAGAAATTATACATTCGGGACTGAGCACAGACACCATGTGACGGGGACAGTCTCTGTCTTCTCCAGAAATGCGCAGCTGTAATAAATCCTTAAACAGGATCATTAAATTAGATTTGAGACATACTTGCTCTGCCAGCATCAGGGCTTTGGCTTATACTCTTTGCCTTTAAATATGAGAACGCTCAGAGAGGCGGAGCATTCCAGACCACACGGGAAGGGGGGCGGTGCCTGGCGTGCAAGGTGGCCCTGGGGTCAGGGTGTCTGCCTGGGAACATAACCACGTCCCCCCAACCCCCCAGCCTGGGGCCTCCCTGAGGACCCCGCCCCCACCCCCAGCAGCAGCCTCTGTGTTCACTTTTCAGAATGACGGATACAAGCAGAACGGCACCTCCAGTCCTGCCCTGCACAGACCCCGGCGTCTGAACCCCGGTTCTCGGGAAGGCCCTGCCCGCAGGACAGCGGGGTCCGGGGACATAGGCTCGTGCTCTGTGGGGATACAGCTGCCTGCCGTCCATTCCATGAGGCCGGGGTGGTCCCACCGGCGACCTGCGGGCTCGTCCCCAGGGCTCTGGTACCAACAGGGAATGACCCCGCAGAAAAGACACCCCTTTGAGGCCCACGCATCACACCAGGACGGCCTGCCTCCACGTCCTCAGAACGAGGAAACTCCACGGTGGGCAGAACCCGGGCATGCAGGCCAGACCGCCAGCCCGGTCCTCCGGGGGCTCCTAAGCCCACCACCCACGGCTGGAGCTCGCCTCCGTGGCTTCTGAGAGCCAGGGCAGGGCCAGTGCAGGTCATCGGGCAGCAGCTGGCAAGAAGGGGCACAGGAGACCCGTCCGGTAGTGTCCCTGGCTGCCTGTGGCTCTCCTCATGAGTTGGGGGGATGCAGGGTCCAGAGCACCCTGTGAGCCCGGGGGGGGTGCAGGGCACAGAGCACCCTGTGAGCCCGAGGGGGCAGGGTACAGGGTACAGAGCAGCCCAGGAGCCCGGTGGGGGGGTGCAGGGCACAGAGCACCCCACGAGCCCAGGGGCGGGAGGGGTGCAGGGTCCAGAGCAGCACAGTCACAGCATCAAGTGTCTTGTGAAGTGAAAGAGCCGAGAGGAAAATGCATGAGCACGCGCGCGTGCACACACACAGAGGTCTACTCTGGGTGTGCAGCAGCTGGGGAAGGGTGAGGGGCTCAGTGGTCATTCCCAGGGTACAGATGTGGGGGAGCATCGGGGGTATGCTTGCTCCCCAGCACAAATGCCAAGCCCCCAGCAGCTGCTGTTCCCTGCGGGGGAGGCGGGCCCGCCCCGCCCCCGCTCCCACCACTCTGGCCGCCCCAGGCCGGGAGCTCCCGCAGGTGCCAGTGAGCGTTGGGGGGTGAGTGCACCTGCCAGCAGGCAGCAGAGTTGAACTCGGACCCCAGGACCAACCTCATTTCTTTGCTTGCTTGCAATGACTTCTCTTTGCTTTGCCTCATTTTTCCAGGTGGATTCACTGGTATTTTCTGTCTGCCAAATCCACGGCAAAGGGAGTCTTTGATGCCACCTAGGAAAATGCGAGATGTTTTCGGGAGTCCAAGGAAACGCTGCCGTTCACACAAAGCCAACCGCCCGCAGGCAGTAGACTCGTCCTTCGCCTGGAGGAGGCCACGCTCCACCCACCCCAGCCTCGCGCGGGCCCCAGCTGGACGCTGGTCGGTGGGTGGGCAGTGTCAGGGCGTGGGGAGGCCGGCGGGCCTGGAAAGTTGCCGAAGTTCTGTCCACGGGGCCGAGAGAAGACGCGCGCTAGACGGGCCCCACACCTCCAGCGGATGCGGCTGTGCTTTGGATCAATGGGTTTCAAGCTAACGGCTAAGTGACAAGGTTGGCAACATCTTGTGGTTGGAAAGTGGGTGTTATACACTCCGCGGCTCCTGGGTCCATGACATCGCGCACCCGCACAGGTGAGTGCTGAAAACCCAGGAGAAGTACTCGCTACCGGCCTTCCCGATCAAGCCCAGTGATTCCAAGTGAGAACGTGCAAAGTCCATAGGATGCAGGTGAGACAGCTGCTCCCATGTGCCAGCCCCCCGCCCCAGGCGGGAAGCATCACGGGTGCCTGGGGGGGCACAGACGTGTCCTCCGGGAGCTCCAGGAACGTGGAGAGAGGGCACATCTAGGGCAGAGGAAGATGTGATAAAAAGATGTTTCTGGAAGCTCTCTGAGAATCGCAGCCATCTAAATTCACTTTGGAAACAATGTCCTTTCTGAGCTATGGCACCGCGTAACTACGTCTAAGCAGTGCCGCAAACGCTGGACACTCACCACCTCTGAGGGCCTGTGGGCGTGTTGCCGGCATTTCTGGTCACCTGGGCTCTTGCATTTCCTCATCCACCTCTTCCGAGTCGCACCCTTTGTCTCCCACATGATCCCCTTCCTCCTTGTATCCCCAATCCCTGTCTGGGTTTGCCTTTCTAGAGCCTTCCTTCCCTCCTCGGGCCACACCCACGTGTCCACCTGGAGCTCCGCGCTGAGTGTCCCAGCCAGTTGCTGCCTCCCACCTATCACATGCTCCCACGCCAGGTGGGTGTGGCCCCGTGCCACTGAGAGACCTCGGACACCCCCCACTCTCAGGGAGCAGGCCTGCCAACTAGACTCATCTCCCTGTGTCGGGGGCTTTAGACCTGTGTGTGTGCACCTGTGTGTGTCCCTGAGGGCACCTGTGTGTGCACCTCTGGGCACATGTGCCTGCGTGCCTGCCTCTGAAAGGAGGGCGTGCCCTTTAGGGCATTGCAAGGTGGGCAGAGGAAGGGATGGGGCAAGTGCGGGTGCAAGGAGGGCAGGGGGTGCAGGGGGGTCCTGGGGAGGGCAGGGGGTGCAGGGGGATCCTGGGGAGGGCAGGGCGTGCAGGGCGGTCCTGGGGAGGGGAGGCGGGGTTCCAACCAGGGGCTCCTCAGGCTGGAATCTGCCGGGACCCATGTGCTGCGGCCCAGACGGCATCTGCAATCACCTCACGTGCCGCAGCACCTCCAAGTGGGTTAGCAGGGCAGGGCCTGGTCTGTCTGGTTCACATGCCTCACTCTGGGAAGGTGCTTAACCCTAGGGGTGGGGGCGTGAGGCCGGGAGGGGGAGGGAGGGGCAGAGCCAGGGAGGGCAGGAGCCGGCTTAACCCAAGCGGGGTGTGTGTGTGTGTGTGTGTGTGTGTGTGTGCAGGGGAGAGG